AGCACACCTCGCTTTTTTCAGACCGATGAGCTTTGTAAAAATCAACGCGTTTCAAAAAGGGGGGGCATAGAGGAGAAACAATAATGTACAGTATGTGGAAAATAATGTTTTTTTTTTTTTACTTTAAACCACATAAACACATTTCATTACACCAAATACACAAAATAATGTTCTTTTTAGCAGCATCATATGACCCCTTTAATGTGTCTTTGTTTATTTTGTGCCTGAGCACATGGCTGTGTCTTTGTATGTGTTGGTCATGTGCTCCTCTTGTCCTGCCTCCTCGTTTTCAATCACCACACCCCCTTGTTTAGTCCTTGTTTGCCCAATTGTGTTCACCTGATCCTCGTGTGCTGCTCTCTTTATTGTGCTCATTTCCCTCTGGTCTTTGCTGGTTCGTTTTGTGTGCCTTCTCATTGCTAGTGTCTTTAGTTTTGTTAGAACTTGCTATTCAGTATATTTCATCCAGTCTAGTTTCTAGTTTTTATTTCTTCCAATGTTTAGTCTATAGTCTAGTCTTTGTAGTTTAGTTCTTTATTTTAGTTCTTGAACCTTTTTATTTTTCCCCTTATTTTCTTTTTAGTTTTCAGCAAGGTTGCTGTCTTGTCTTTATTTATTTTGTTTGTAGTTCTAGTCATTAATCCTAGCTTTTTCCTGTTATCCTTTCGTTTTCATAATTTCTAGTTAAGTATTTCTAGTACTTTATTACGTTTTTCCTTTTCAGTTTTATTTCCCTAGTCATAGTTTCAAATGTTTTTACTTTTGATCTGTGTTGATCTCTTGTCTCTTCTATTGTCTTGTTTGTGTTGGTTCCTGCCCTGCTTCCTGAGTCCTTCCTGGTCGTTGATTCTTCTGACCTGACAGACATTTTGGTGCATCAAGAGTTACCATCTCTAGGGCCAAGCCTGTGGTTCCTTGAGCTGCTACCTAGTCTCATTTTGCTACAGAGTCTGGAGCTACCCCCATCCCTGACCAGCCTGTTCTCCTGTTGTGTGCCCTGCCTTATTGTGTGGACCGTCTTCCTGTCTCATCCTTTAGTGTTCTCATTTTTGTTAATAAAAGACATTTTGGTGCATCAAGAGTTACCATCCCCAGGGCCAAGCCTGTGGTTCCTTGAGCTGCTACCTAGTCCCCTTTTGCCACAGAGTCTGGAGCTACCCCCATCCCCGACCAGCCTGTTCTCCTGTCGTGTGCCCTGCCCTATTGTGTGGACAAGTGGTCTTCCTGCCTCGTCCTTTTGTTCCATTTTTGTTAAACTCTGTTCCCCCTGTTCATTCTGCATCTGGGTCCTTCCTTGCCAAACCGTGACGCATTCATCTTATTGGCTCTGGGTGGGGTATGGTTTTGGTAGAACGGTGCATCTCACCCCATTGGTCTATTTAATGACCCTTATTTTGGTGAGTGTATATGTGTCCTGGTGATTCTGGGCCTCTGTCTTCCTGGCATTTCTGTTTCCGTTCCTATTCCGGTATGGTGAGACTTTACTGATGGTGTAATGATGTGAATAGCTTGAGTCTAATGTGCTTTAACATTACCTTTACAGTTAGTCTTCTCTAATTGAACTACCTGTATAAATAATGTAAAAAAGTCACTGTCTTAATGAGTGAGTCAATTATTCAGTCAATTATTTCAAAACGGCTGATTCATTCAGCAACAAAGTCAGTCAATGATTCACACCATTTAAAATAAAAAAAATGCTAATTCGTTCAATAACAAAACACTACTTTGTTTGGAACCGTTTTCGTGAGTAAAAAAAGACAATTTAATTGTGCAAAAAGACTACAATTTAAGTCTTTTAATATTTCTTGTTTATTGAATTGTTGCCCTGACACAAAGTCTGCCACAGACCATCCTAACCAAACCGTTCATAAATGTGTGTGTTCATAAATGTGTGTGTCTCTTCCTAGGACATGCATTTAAAGCGCATTTAGAACAAATCACTATTTATTGCTTCACAGTGACAGTGTTCAGTAACAAATAACCTAATTTGACAGACGGAAAGATCGGTATTATAGCGATAAGTTACAAATAGGCTACCTCAAGCAGCTGCATCTTACCATTTAAGTGCTGGCTGGAGGTGTTTTATTTATTTAGAATTTTGAAATATCCATTTTAATTTTCAAATAAATTGATTTAGTAAAGTACACCACCTGGCTACAAAACAGCTAATCTTATTTACTGGATCATATAGATAACTTTTTATCAATACTGGCATTAAGTTGGCTTGACGTTCGATATTCGCAAATTCAGGGACCGTCTTATGCAACTTTAGAGACTGTCCCTAAATTTGTCAATATTGTACGTCCAACGTCAAGACAAGTTTATGCCAATCTTATCGATTAAACACTTATTCATCAACATATCTGAACATAATGATACAGTGAAAGTGAAATTCAAACCTCAGTATGTTCAGTCGACAGTGTGAACTCTTCAGTCCATCAGAGAGCAGCTTCACTCCTGAATCCTGCAGGTGATTGCTACTCAGGTCCAGCTCTGTCAGGTTGGAGTTTGACGATTGTAGAGCAGAAGACACAGTTTCACAGCATGTTGCATCAAGACCACAGCCATCAAATCTGCCAGAAGTTTAGCCAGATTATGTTATGTTGTTCAGTGCCTCTGCAATAATTTATTGTACTCTTCATAATTGGGACATGAAAATATTTCACATTATTTTGACATTTAATTATTTAGTGAAGAACAAAATGTTTGATTGAACAGCAGTCAGTGAAATTACTCACAGGGCTTTTCTGCAGCATCTCACAGCTGGAATGAGTCTCTTGTAGTTTGAAGATGATGACGTGAACCTCTTTGAGTTGAACTCATCCAGCACTTTCTCTGACATGAGCACTATGTAGGTCAACACTGTGCACATTGAAGATGAGAGGTCTCTTCCTGGATGTGCATCTGAACTGAGGTAACTCTGGATTTCCTCATATAATGAATGATCTTTCAGCTCAAGTAAGCAGTAGAATAGGTTGACTGAAGCTTCACCTGAGATACCATACTTATTTTGTACTCGTTTAATGTATTCAGCTGTTTGTGTGATGCTCTCTGTGGTGTCTTCAGTGTGTGTGATCAGGCCTTCGAGCAGATTTTGACTGGATTCCAGTGAAATGCCTATCAGAAACCGCAGGAACAGGTCCAGATGTCCTCTCTCACTCTTTATGGCTTTATCAATGGCCTTCTGCAGTAACTCCTCCAATGTGACATTTTGTTTTGGCTCATCAAAGAAAAACTGAAGCTCCTCCATGTTCTTGTTCAGGTAACAGAGGAACACATGCACTGCAGCAAGAAACTCTTGAACACTCAGATGCACAAAATAAAAGACCTTCTTCTCAAAAATTCCATTTTTCTTCTTAAAGATCTCAGCGATCATTCCTGTAAACTCAGAGTCTTTACTCACATTAATACCACATGCTTTCAAATCTTTCTCATAGAACACAATGCGTTCTTTCTTCTGCTGTTCAAATGCTAGCTTGGCCAAATTCAAAATCATTGTTCTGTTTGAATCTAAAAGCTTTGCACATTCTCTTTCTTCTTGTTTATCATACTTCTGGTTCTTCATGTTCATCTGTATCAGCAGGATTGTAAACAGCACATCTACAGATGATCTTTCCTCAACAGTGTTCAGTGTTTCGTTTTTAAAGTTCAGTAGCAATTGACTCTCATCAAGTCCATCAAATATAAACACAAGCTTACATTCCTTATATAACTTTGATTTCTCCAGGTGCTCCAGTTCAGGATAAAATTTCAGCAGAAACTCATGGAGATTGACCTCTCTGTCTTTTATCATGTTGATCTCTCTGAATGGAAGCAGGAACACACACTCTATATCCTGATTGGTGTTTCCTTCTGCCCAGTCCAGGATGAACTTGTGCACAGAGACAGTTTTTCCGATGCCAGCGACTCCCTTGGTCAGCACAATCTTCTCCTCATTGTTTTTCCTCAGTTCAGTAAATATATCATTGCATTTGATTGGTTTGTCCTGTGTTTTTTTGTTCTTGAAAGCATCATCAATCTTCAGAATTTCATGTTCGTGATTGACATCTTTCTTATCTCCCTCTGTGATGAACAGTTCTGTGTAAACAGTCTTGAGATCTGTGTCGTTTTCTTTGTTGCCCTCAAAAATATATTTGGCTTTCATCATCATGTTGGTTTTGTGAATTTGCAAGAATTTCTGCAGCATTAAATCCTCTGTTAAAAAGGCTGATGAAAGTGAATAAAAACATGATGAAAAAGCAAAAAACAGATTTAACTGTCAACGTTATAATTAAATGACTATTGAATATAATGCAGACCTGAGGCCTTTCTTCTTCATGTTGTTTTTGTGAGTTTTCAAGAAGTTTTGCAGCTCTATAATTAAAAACAAGTAAATCAGATTGATAAAGCATTAAACAAATTGGAGAAATATTTTTCATATCAGCATGATCATCATTATTAATAACTGATGCAGACAGATTAAATTCATACTGCTGAAAACAGCACAGACCATCCCCAACAGCTTGGTTTCAATTTTAGAATTTCTGAAAGTTTTTTTTTTATTGTATTGATTCAGATCATCTTTAGGCCATGCTGACTAATGTTAAAGCTGATTAACGGTCTTCACATCATGTAGCACATCAAACAGTTTGTGAGGCTGTATTTACAACATGTTTTGACCTGCTTAAATGAACCTTTCCATGTGTGATTGTAATCATGGATTGATGATACTGAATCAATTTGGTGACAGTGCCACTTACTGGTCAACTTTAATAAACAATTGTATCACAATATAAGATGTTTAATGAATTTTTAGACCTTTGTGAACTGGGCATCACTAGGGACACGCGGCAACAGTTTATTTTAAGGACCAGTTCTCACTATTAACTAGTTTCTTATTAGCATGCATATTACTAGCATATTGGCTGTTTATTAGTACTCATAAAGCACATATTAATACCTTGTTCTGCATGACCATATTTTAGATCCCTTAATCCTACTGTCACGAATCCGGTCTATGAACTTCAATTCACTCACCACCAGAGGTCACCCTTCCATTACATTGACTCTCGCACTACACAAACTGTTGCATGTCATCCCGGACTACATATCCCATCATCCATTGCACTGATTGCACACAGCACTGATTGCACACAGCTGTAACCAATCACACATTCACTATATAACACTCACTCTGATCCCTTTCAAACTGTCGAGTATTGTATAGCGTTTATCACTCTCTTAGCGATAGCTACTCTACGGAGCCTGTCTAGTTTTACATAGCCTTATCTTAGTCTAGCCTTGTATGTTTTATTGTGTCCTGATCTTTGCCTGTATATCTCGGATTCCCCCTCTCGTCTTGCCCTATTCGGATAATGTTTGCCCCTGCCTGGACCTTTGCCTTGTACCTGGATTTATCCCTCTAGTCTCGCCCTGTTGATTCTGTTCGCCGATCGTAGACCCACGCTAACCCTAGGAATATTCTTGTGTCTTGCCCTCTATATACAGTACCTGTTGCCATTGTCTGACTCTTGCCCGTTTCTGACCATGTCGGTTAATAAAGCTTCGCACTTGGATCTGCACGTCTCACGTCTCAGTCACTCCGTGACAGAATACTCGGCCACACAAGGATCCAGCGGCTTTCTAACTATTAAAGCAAATTAGGAGTACACAGCGATTCTG